GAAGTTTGGGTGTTGATTTATATGCAGACTTCGATCCTTGTTACATACCTTACCCTATGCGATGGGCCAATGGTCTCTCCTTCAGTGAGTGTCGGCCAACAGGAAAGTTGTTAGCTGATCCTACAACATCAACGACTAGCAAGTCATTTGGTCGACAAACGAGGGAGAACGACCAAGACCTGCATGAACTGTCAATAGATTCCTGTGCTTTGGTTAGGATCTCATTTCGATCAGAAACAAATTCTTCCAGTCAAGCCTCTCCTACTGTAACGTCCTATTAAAGCATGAGCAAGGTTTAGGTGTTCTTGTCACGGCAAGATTCCTAATATCCTCTTCTGATATCCTCTTACGGACAAGGTACCGCCTGTTCCCATCCCCATTGAAGGATTCCCGCCTAGGTACCAGTGACGAAGGCACCTGAAACTTCGAGTCTGAAGCCTAGGCTCATGACATAGATCTAAACATGGGTGGATGTCATGTCTGCATTGTTTTCTCATCGGATCAAGGCATGCAAGCTGTCACCCTAATTCGCGTCCTCCATGCCGTCTCTTCAATCAAAACCTAGCAGTAAGTTCGATGCTGGGCTAGGGCAGTGGCCAGCTGCAGACAGCCGAAGAATAGTAGGTTTTCGGTCCTTCCAAAATTCCTCAGCTTCACTACCCATTTAAGCTATGAGGAATGGCCAGGCTAGAAGACTTTCCGGTCCTTCAGTGAGCGAGACACTCGTACTTCTTTCTGCTCCATGACTTCCGCCGTAATGGTCACCGAAGACGAAGTCATAGATATACCTTTTAACAAGCCTGCAATTGGCCTCATGAAACTCCAGATCAAGGAGTTGGTATGTTTCTATAGTGGGTAAAATATCCAGTATACTGCGATCTTTACCAGAGACATTGTCGCCCGTGTAAGTCACTGAAGAAGCACGGGGTTGAAATCACAGAGGTGCCCACTCTTGCTTTGAGATGATGCAGAAGAGATTGCTGGCCAGCTAGACGGAGATGGGAGATGATCTGGGGGAATTTGCGAGGCCACACATCCTAAATGGGTTCGGAAGGGAGGATGTTCGCTCCAGATTCTCACGAAGTCGCTGTCGACCCGCGGTGCTCCTAGCAATATTAGAATCGAAAGTCTTCAAAGGCTTCGGCTCGGGGATTCGACAGCACTGTTCGGCGCATTTGAAAGGGTACGAGCCGAGGAGTGCAGCCTGTGATGGGAGAATAGACCTGGCATGGTCGCATACGAGTCCCGTGTCAGAGGCACATGCAGATGCTTGGGAGGGCTGCATCCCTGAGAGTTCCTCGCTATATGGACTTTGCATCACCCTTTGTTCGCTAATCAGACAGCAATAGACATCCCTTGTATTGATCGGGACAGATTGAACGTAGGAGTAACGCGAGTGAACTCGGAGTCAGATATCTATTAATAACGCGCCTGCGTCTACCAAGATCCCTGCTCAGATTTTAAGGTCGGTCGCCGAGCCTTGTCCTAAAAGGGATGTGGAGAATACAATCGAGTCAAGGTCTGTCTTGCAGTTCACGGGCTTTCACACCAGCTTTAACACCCATTTGGCATACAACAATTGCCTCTTCATAGTGAATGCAAGTATATGGGTAATTGCCACTATCAAGACACACCTCTTATGCTTCAATTCCCTCCCGTTCAACTCCTTATCACGACTGGTCTATCGCTTCCTACAATTTTCCCTTCCTCGTGCAGGCACGACCGAGCAGCGACGCCCAATTGCATAGCCTATCAATACCTCCTTGGATTGCATTGCCCTGGCTATAGCCTAGACACGTCACCACAATGGCTGATAATGGCCCCATTCCTTCGAGTGCTGATAGCTCAGATAGGGAAGGGGTAAGTAATAGTTCCGCTTTGGCCGCGGAAGCAGCCCCAGCTAAGATCGTGATAGGACACTTTCGAGGATGCGCAAGATAACTCTGATCGGCCCCAGTCCCATCGGTCATCTGCATCTTCACGCTCTCTGACCAATCTTCGACCACCCTCATCTCCCTCCACACCACGCGGGTCCAACGTACAATCCTCAGAAGAAACATCGGTACATAAACAAGAGGCTCGTATCCCAGACAATGAAGATACTCCAACCAAATCTCCCTTGCTCACTGCGCACCGTATTTCGGCTTCTTCCCTCAACAATGTGCAACTTGACGGAACGAACGACACCAATTCAATACGATCAGACTCTACGGCTACTGCAACGACCGAAAAAAGCATGGCTACCTCCCCTCCAAAGCTCCCGATTCGATCACAAGGTCTGTCTGGAAACCTTCCATCGATACCTTGGGGCCCGCCTCCCGCCTCGAAACCAACAGTCTCTACACCTTTTACAGCTCCACCCCCGAGGAAATTGGGCATGAGTTTTTCCTGGCTGTCGAGGAGTACTTCCGGAACCAAAGATGCTGTCCCGTCTCCCAGCCAAGTGCCAACTCCTCGTGACCGGCGGAACACTGTCACTTCTATAGCCTCGATCGGCTCGAATCCGGAGCTCATGCTGAGCAAGCTGGATGAAGGCCAAGAATCCGACAACTCGACCGGTGCAAAACGGCAAAGAAATAGTTTAAGAGACCGGTTCAAGATGCTCCGGATGAGAGAAGAGGCGGGCATACAGTCTCTCGAGGGACAGGATGTTGGGTCGCCAACAGCCAGCGGAGGAGCTCTTGCAGCGCTAATTGGGCGAGGTGCAAGCGTTGGCCTCGGCATTGGAAGTCCAACAAGTGTCGTAGACGAGAAGGAAGGTGGCCTTGCTGGTACTGCCAGTCCTCTACAATCACCGGTCTCGACTGTTCCCCCCGCTAATCCAATAACATCGACAACCAATCCTAATCTTGCTCCTGGAACAGCCTCCGGCGTGTCAGCTGGGCCTTCAGCTATGACTGATCCTGCGGCTGCTGTTGACTGGGACTTATGGCAATCGGTCGTGTATGAAGGGCCATCAGCAGTTGCAAGGACCAGCGCGGAGGAACTCAGCATGGCTATAGCAAGTGGCATCCCCAGTGCGATAAGAGGTGTCGTTTGGCAGGTATTGGCCCAGAGTAAGAACGATGAACTGGAAGGCGTGTACCGAGAGTTGGTCGTACGGGGTACAGACAAAGACCGCGACCACATGGCTGCAGCAAACGGTCATGCACTGACAAACCTCCCAATGAACGGAAGCGCTAAGGAAAAGCACTCAATAGCCTCTTCAGCATCGTCGATGCACTCTGGTCAATCCACACCGGCAACTACAGCGACCAATGGCTTGACATCGCCATCTCATTCGCAGCTAGGAAAAGATGCAGAAAGCATGAAACAGCTTCAGGCAGCGATGATGGCCGAACGGAAGAAAAAAGTAAAGGAGGATGCTGCTGCTTTGCAGAAGTTGGAGAAGGTCATCAGAAAAGATCTGGGGGCCCGAACAAGTTATTCGAAGTATGCTGTGGCTGCTGGGCTTCAGGAGGGTCTATTCGGAGTTTGCAAAGCATATGCCTTATTTGATGAAGGGGTCGGCTACGCTCAAGGCATGAACTTTTTGATAATGCCGCTGCTTTTCAATGTAAGCTCCTCTACGAAGAGCAAGGCAGCGTAGACTAACGCTTTCTAGATGCCCGAGGAAGAGGCTTTCTGCCTTCTCGTTCGGCTGATGAATCAGTATCATCTTCGCGACATGTTCATACAGGATATGCCTGGCCTCCATTTGCATCTTTACCAATTCGAGAGGTTACTCGAAGATATGGAGCCAGCGCTGTACTGCCACCTCCATCGAAAAGGCGTTGCCCCACAATTGTATGCAACGCAATGGTTTCTCACTTTGTTCGCCTACCGCTTTCCTCTCCAGCTAGTCCTCCGTGTATATGATCTTATCCTTAGTGAAGGTCTTGAAGGTGCCATTCTGAAGTTCGGTATAGCTTTGATGCAAAAGAACGCCGACAACTTAGTTGGCATGAATGATATGTCCAGTCTAACAAATTTCTTGAAAGACCGCCTTTTCGATGTCTACATAGACCAGGCACCGTCCGCAAACTCGTTACTTGAGTCAGGTTTCTTCGGCAGCTCAGGTGGTGGGATTGACAAAGAGATCTACCGCGCCGATATCCTCGTCCAAGATGCCTGCGCAGTCAGAATTACCCCGGAGATGCTGAAACATTATACGTCAGAATGGGAAGAGAAGCAGCGATCAGAAAAGGAAAGAGAAGCCGAACTCGAAACGCTTCGTTCAACGAACGCATCGCTCGCGCTCAAAGTCCGCTCGCTTGAAGAGAGAACAGAAAAGTCGGACACCGAACATGTGCAAATGGCTTCGGAGTTGGTTCGTACGAAAGTTGAAAACCAGGAGTTGTACGATAGCGTCGAGAGCTTGAGGGGTCAGACAGACGAGCTGAGGAGTATGGTCGAGAAACAGCCTGAGGAGGTTGAGCAGAGGCTGAAGGAGGAGATGGATCGAATCATGAAGAGGAATATAGAGGTGCAGAACGAGAACCGAGCATTGGAGGAGCAGATTGCAGATATGGAGAAGACATTGGTGGAGACGAAGATGCAGTTTGCTGAGGTATGCTACCAAATAATCACAATGGAAGGGTACTTTTACTGACCGGACCTTTAGATTAACGGCGAATATGACAGCCTGAAGCAAAAGTGGACAGATTTGCGGAAAGCCATCGAGTCTTAGCCTTGGCCACTAACCTACAGCTTGTTGCACATCTTCGCTTCCTGTCCTGTTTGCTTCGCGATTATATATTTGCAATTGACTTCAAAGTGTTACTGTGTGAGCGGCTGCATACCCCTGGCGTACAGGACCTACGGGTCAGTTATCTGTTTCATTAGCGAGCATGTATACCCAGACAGGCCACATATGGCTGAGCAATGTGGAATTCGTCCCGAGCAAAAGCTTTCATCTGTCTATGGACCATCATATGCTAGCTACAATGAAGGCGAATGTTGACCTTACCATCCTTGGCAAAAGGGTAAGCACCCATCCTTTCGACTGCGTCAAATCGGGCTCATCCCTCAATGTTCTCAAAATGAAAACTCGGACTCCCTGGCGTCGCCTGTCCCGCAACTGACGGCAACTGTTCTCTCCGCCCTCCATCCCCCTCTCCGACCGTAGTCACCCCCACTTTCTCCCCCTCCTCTCCCTCCACCTTCACAACTTCAATGACCTTACACCCCGTCGTCCGGCTCAATCCCCTAACCATCTTCTCCAGCACCTCGCCCTCTTCAAACACCAGTTTCCGATCAAACACCACCTCCTGGCTCTCCCCACCCATCAAGCGCTTTTTGAGATGTTGCACGAACGGCATAGCGCGTTTCATTTCCGCTTTGCCCTTGGCTTGTACTTTGGTGTTTAGGTTCTTCTCATCGAAGCTCATGCCGTTGAAGGACTCGCGGACGATTCCGAGATATGCGTCTTGCCAGGCTGGGTAACTCGCCGCGTAGAAAATGGTAAGTTTTTTAGGTAATTTAGGGTCAAAAGAGATGACTTTCCCTTTCTCCTTCCGCTTCTGCTGCGCCGCCTCCGCACTCGTAATCGCGCTGCTCGTAGCCCTTACATACTCTCTCGCCGCCGTCAACGAAGGATTAGGGGTGGGAATGTCGGGCCAGAGGGCGTTTTGAATCGTGCTTGGGGCGGAGTTTTTGAGGACTTCGGACCAGATATAGTCGGCCCAGTGAGGGGCGATGGGGGTAATTAGGAGGGCTTGCAGGGTGATGTATTTGTGGATGAGGGATGAGTGCATGGGGAGGGAGGCGGCGGTGGTGGCTTCGCGGTAGAAGTCGCGGGCTGAGGTGAAGTCGTAGAGGGAAGATTTGAGGGCGACTTTGTAGTCGGTTCTGTTTGGGGATTTGTTAGTATGGTTTGGAAAGGGATGGTTGAGGTGGCGGATGCTTACGCTTCGTAGTGCTGTCGGGCTTCGTGGACGAGAGTGTTCATCTCGTTGTCGAAGAGCTGGTCCCAGAGTTCGTTGGCTTCGCCTGTTCGGAGACTCTTGTCGTTGACAACCTCTTCACACCATTCTTTCAAGGTATACATTCGCAGGATGATTTGATTAGCGACTGCCTCCTCGAAGTTTGCGTCTTCGACTCCGTCCCCGGCATCTGCTAGAGCTATCCGACATGCATCTGCGCCGTACTTTTCCACTGCGTCATTCAAAGTCATGAAATTGCCTGTGCTCTTACTCATCTTATCGCCATTGAGTAGCAAGTGGCCATTTGCTCGTACGCTTCGCGGCCAGAACTCCTTGGGAAAGAGCGCGATGTGGATGTAGAGGAAGAAGGTGAGATGGTTGGGGATTAGGTCCTTGCCAGAGCTGTTCATATCCAGAGGATACCAATATTCGAATTCTCTTCGCATGGTCTCCAGATCTGCTTTCTTGATGCCGCAGTCTTTCAAGAGCTCCTCGCTGAGTTCCCGCCGGCAGAATATATAGTCCCAGACTTCGTCGATCATTTGGTGTGGTTTAATGTCCAGCTTTCCAGGTGTTTTGCCAAAGATGTCGCCATGTAGCAGATGCGAGATAGTGTAGTAGGCCATGTAGATCGTACTGTCGCTCAAGCTCTCCACAAGGAACTTGGGGTCCCAAGGAAGCTTTGACCCAAGTCCATATGTTCTAGCGCATGCCCACCGATTGAGCCATTCAAGGTTCTTTTCGAACCCATTCTGTGTCTCTGAGCTGTAAGTCTCCATGTCGTTCTTTACATGGTCGAGGACAGTATCTCGCCATTGAGGGTCGTTCTCTCCGTAGTTCAGAAACCATTGACCAAGATATGCAGTGACGCATTCATCACCACTACGACTAACGACATGACCGTTTGGCTCTGCATACTCGAAAGCTTCACCACTCTCAATCAGGGCCGCTCTAACTTTAGGCTTCGCTGCCTCGACGGATTCGCCTTTGAAGTCCCCAATTAGCATTCTACCCTTGTAGTACCCTTCCTTATAGGCCAGATCTTTCGCTTCTGCAAGCTGCTTTGCATCCTTTGGCGAGTTGATCTTCATCTTTTCCACGAGAAATTTAGCAGTGATATTCCCATACGACGGTGTCTGAATGATGGGTGGTATCTCGAGCTGAGCCCACTCCTTCTCTATGCCGTAGTATTCGGCTTTCTTCGCCAGATCAGTGACCGTAGCGTAGTCATCAGGGCTGTCAGAAGGAACAGAAGTCACAACACCGGTGCCTTTGGACGGAAGAACGGATTCCATAGGCAAGATCCGCACACCTTGCTTATGTATCGACAATGGCGCGTTGACAAGGGTACCAACTACCTCCGCGCCGGTCAGCTCGAGAACAGGATGAAGCTCGCCAGCATCTCGTGCGAACTTGTCACTCTTAAAGAAGGTTCCTTGAAATGCCATATTCCAAGCAGCCCGTTTAGTAACTACGTAGTATTCGTTGTCAGAAACTTTAAACACGCCATAGACGATTTTAGGTCCCACAAAGCAGCAAGTTTGTCCATACATCGTTTCAGGCCGAAGAGTTGCAGGGACGAAGTACACATGCGCTCCATCTGGGAGCTTGCCCTTTATTTTCTCTGCAGCTTTCGGCGCCCATTCCTTAACTTTCAATTTGAGAGCAGTGTAATCCTGTGGAGCTACACCTTCACCCTCTGCCCTGTCATGATCCATACACGGCTGTCCATCTTTTGGCGAATAGATCGTATAACGAATACCATACTGTATCTTTTTCAGCTCGTGTAAACGGTTCATCTGCCATCGTACAAAAGCATCATAGTATGGATTAGCATCAGTCGTGACCATTGATCGTCTCCAATCTATCCGAGCCCCAAAGTTGTTCAGATCCTGTTTCAACAATGGTGGGAAGTATTGCAGCCAGTAATGTGCGTCGGCGAATCTGTGTATCTCTTCTTTTGGTACTCCTAATGCAAGCATGATCTGAAATTGGTACTTCATCTTAACTGTCTTCGCTGCGGCCTTTCCCTTCTTCGAAGTGAACTTTGTGATGTCTTCTTTTGTCTCTGCCTGCGTTGGCGCTGGCGCCGTCACCGTCTGGTCTGCATCCTCCTCTTCATAATTCTCAAAGTTCTGTCCAAACTTCCGAACGTCTTCTGCCAATTTGTCTGCACATGCTTTGATGGGCATGCCGGTTAGGTGAAACCCTACAGGAAATAAGACTCGCTTCCCCTCCATTCTCGCGAAGCCAGCCGTGAATTCGACTTTGCTGATGGTGAAGCTGTGCCCGGCATGTAGAAGGCCATTCGTGTACGGGTATGCGAAAATGGCGAAGTGTTTGGGGTGCTTCTTCCGCAACTCGGCTGGAAGGATCGAGCCCGTGGGTATCTCGGAGGTTGTGGGAGCGTTGGAGTCGAAAACTTTGCTTTCTCGCCATTTCTTTTGGTATCTTTTTTCGATTTTAATTAGGGTGTCTCTCTTCTCGGTCTGTAAAAATCGTGTCAGCCGCGATCCTTCAGATGGAGCAGGCCTCTTGCATTTTCCAATTTCAAAGTCTTCGCGGTCGCGCCAGCGGCGCCATTCGCAGCTGCCATAGTTGTATTCGTCCGGAAGAATTGTAGTTTTGAGGCCCGCGAACCATGCGAGACACCTGATTGTGATACAGTGTTGCCAGGTATAATCTGCGATCTGATGGGCTGCAGCCCACGAAACATGCGTGTTTCTCTGCTACGTCTCCATGAATGTCAAGTGTTGTGTGAGTCAATACAAAATGTTTGCGGCTGTTCTGTCTGACATTTGATCCCTGCTAGCGCAGTCCGGGGTGCCAAGACAAGGCCGCCATTCAGCGGCCATCGCGCGCTTCACCTACTCATATGTCTTCAGCGTATTTTCGTTCCAAAGACTTGGCTCCGGGCTAGAATGTTCAGATCAACGATGAGACGACTGGCTGAAACTCCGGGGCATACCATTCACAATAATCCGTACAAAGCCCAGAAAGAATGGCCGCCCGACTTCACAAAGCTCCACCCCAAATACCAATTTCGTCTAGAACGCAGGTATAGACGACGTGCCAAGCTACGATATTCACGGCCTGGGTGGACCAAGGCTGTAAAGCTTGCTGCCTCTGGGAGCTCATTCTGTGAGTGCGCTTTCGGCATGTTCGCATCTTCTCGTTGCTCACTGCTCCTGTAGTTATCCTGGTATACGGGGTTCTCTTCATGGATTGGGGAGAGATGGCAGGTAGAGACGTGAAGCCTTTTGAAGGAGTAAGTCATACGCTCTGCGTGGACCATGTGGTGTAGGACTATGCTGACACGGATTAAGACTCGGGAATGGGTTCGGAACCAGATCAGCTCGATTTGGACAGCAAGCTCGACGACGTCTCCAAAGACTACTGAAGAGAACGGACCTCCTCCGAAGCGTCCACATTGAATTAAAAACGTTGTCACACTATTCCGGCCTTTGCTCGCCCTCATAAGCCAAGCGTGGGCACAGCTTTCGCAGAAGTTGACCACTACGTCCTTGGTTGTTACCGCTTGAAGACGACTCTTGCATCATTATATTACATTCAAGTCCGAATGTCTCCTTGAAGACGAAGCTTTCTGCCAGCGTTCTGGTCTCGAACCCGGGGCCGGACTCCCCCTGACCAAATCCCGTCAACCTCTCTCATCGCCATGCCTCTCACTTGCAACGATACCCTAAGTTCCGTTCCGCTCGGACACACAAACGTCAAAAAATACCCTGAAGTAAACCCAATGACTGTCACCGCCCACATCCTAGCCGCAAACGCCTGCGCTATTGCCCAAGAGACTTTTTGTTAGACCACATCGTCAGGTTCAGCGACCCTAGCGGAGAACTACCGCGTTGGAAGGGGCCAGCGAGCCATATTGGCTGGTGAAGGCGCTTACAGTAAGGATGGGGTAGAGTTGTTGTAGTCTAACAGCTGCGACTTGGATTGGGATGAAAGACTGCCACGTGTCACAACGGCGCTTCTGATGTGTTAGGTCTCGAAGAGCGAGGCCAGGCTTCGGTGGGGCTAGGTCCACGCTCGCAATATGTGAGAGGAGGATGGCCGAGATGCCGAATAGGAGTGGAGATCGCATATTTCGGTCACTGGGGCTTGAAGTTGTATCTTCAAAGATGTGCCTCTCGACAACATCAAAAGAAATTCAATTCGTAAAAATGGAAGTTTGAGTACCCGGGACAATGACCAGCCTTGCTTGCATATCTCATGAGGAAGTTGAACAGCCTGCAACACTCGACAAGTGAATTTTCTGCCATGACACCAAACCACGGCGTGTTTTAACCGAATCTATGCTAGTAGAAAAGTACGATCAGACGGAGTCAAAGCCAAACCGACTGATTTCACCGCGTCTCCCAGCTTCGCAAGCCCCTGCGAACCTCCCCCGAGACCCTCTCCCGCGCTTCGTTCTCCACTCCGGCCCTCTCGTTCGCCGCCTTCTTCCCGCTCTCATCCCCCTCCCTAGATATCCCATCCGAACCCCCCCCCCCCAACTCCCCCGGTTCCACTCATCCCGACGACGACGGACGGCTATGTATTGGGCCTCCGATCACGGCAGCCATGGCTGCGCGATCAGGATTGGGGAAACGGCGAGAGCTGCGCACATGGGTTACGTACGCGCGGCCTGTGATGCGCATCAGTGGCGTGCGCGGACGGTGAGGATTCGGTGGTGAGGAGGGAAGCGGGTTGTGAGTCGTTTTTCAAATTTTATGGCGTCGGTTTGGCCCGGTTCTGTGTGTCTGTTTTTGTTTGTTTGTTTGTTTAGCGAAGAAGGTGTGTTCTTGAGCCCGCACTGCCTGGGAAGGTGTGGGTGGATGGATGAGTGTTGTTTCGTTGGCGGGGTCTATATGGGGGCAGGGCCGGCGGTGGTGGTGGTTGTTTCGCTCCGTTCGGAGTCTTGGAATGGGTCCCCGTCGCCCCCGAAGCGAAACATCTGCTCATACATTCTAGTCCTACAGAGCGGATTCGTTTTGTAGGACGGCAAGGCACTTTTTTTCATTGACTCCTTCAACGGATTGAGTGGGATTGGCTAAGTAGTCTCGCCTAGACTTGCTGCACGAAATGTATCTAGAGTCGAGTTGTGTAGGAGCATCTCAACGTTCTCGGCCGCCACCACCTAGCCGTCCCTTTATGCATCTCCTCCAGTTCATCCATGATACGACACCTTTTCAAGCCCCCCCCCGACAATCATCTTCGCACGTGGCCTCCAGTTGCCACAACGCATGTCTCCTCCTATCATCACAGTCTTCCAGCACCCTCAGATCACCGTCCAGCGATCCCGCCGAAGCGACCTCCTTCGCCCTGCCACTCCGCTCCATCCCTCCATCCATCGCCTCCAACTGCGGTAGAATCGAGCACGGTCCCACTCCTCTCTGCCATTTTCTTTCTCGCACCCGCCCCCGATGTCCGCGGTGATGCGGTTCGATCGCGATCTCGGCTTCTCGTACAGCGTCCGGGCCTTCTCGATTGGGGCGGGGTGTTTCGACGGGTCGTCGACGTCGAGTTTCTTCTGTTGTGGGCTTATGGGTTGAGTTTTGTGCTGTAGAAGAGAACTGGGTGAAAGGTCTAGCGAAAGGGATATTACCCAGCCGGCGTTGGGCCATGGGGATTCGGGACTGAAATGTGCGGGCTGTGGTCAGTGAGGTTGGGATGTTAGCGCTTCTGGCCATCACTGTGTCGGTGTATTACCCTTCGCAAGCGCGGCAACATTATATAGGGTATCTTCGGTGTGCGGCTTTGTGCTTTTTGGAAGCATTGGTGAAGGTGCTGAGTTCTGGTCGTGGTTTGCGAGAGCAGATATTTCATGGAATCCATTTAGACTACCAAGCTTTTCCCATGACCCGTGGTTCACTTCCAAGTGGGGTGGATTCGCCGAGTGGGCAGAACTGTCACAATCGCATCCCTCCACGGTCTCACTTGCCGTACATCTCCGTCGTGTTTGCTCTATGCCCTTCACAATCTTTATTCAGCGTCTTCTCGGATCCACCCTCTCCTTCGCGTGTCGTTTTGGTACGGGTGATTTTCGAGACCAGAGCTAGATCTTTTGTATGCCATCGGGGCCCTCCTTGGTCATACCCATCAGCTCAGGCTTCGGCGATACCAATGTGTTTGAATCGAAGGGATCAAATATGCTGCCGCTCACGCACGAAGCGCATCCGGTGACAAAGCAGGTAGAAATGCCCCAGATCACGGGTTCTGACTGTGACAGTCAGCTCGCACAAGTTAGGAACCTATGGCTGGCGGAGTGCCTACGATGTTATTCGGAACGGTGAAGAAAACGATGTAGTTGGTCATGCTGATCTATCAACGTAGTATTCAGTTCGAGTCTGCAGTTGCATGTATTTTATAAGAATATTTGATGGAAGAATAGTTGAACCAGAGAGATGACGCACACCTGCGGAAATTCCGATGTGTGAAAAGAAGACAGGAAATATCATTTGTTAAGGACCATGGTATTGGATGAGGACCTCATAGAGGGATTAATTTACTGAAAGAGATTTCCCAAATTTAGATTTTGCAGCCTCAAGTACTTACAGTTCTGCACAACTCTCATGTGAATGAGACCGGGTCGAAGATGATGATGAAAGAAATATTACCAATCTTGAGCATGATTACAGTCTCTCCCGACACCTCTTTTCGTGGCCAAACCGGCTCGAGCCCAGTCACAGGCTTGGGACTTCTCGGGAGACTCGCAGAGTAGATGCGTGATGCTAACTGATACCTGAGTTGAGCCGGATCTATTTCGGTTGAGTCAAGTGACTAAGCAAGTTGCATCTACCACTTGAAGAAATGGATCCTCAGACTGCGTGCAACCGCTCTAACTTGCTTTTTCGCCGGGTAGAAACATTTCCGCACCTACACTTGTTCTTCATACTCGTCTGCCTCTCGGACCTGATGCTGTGTCTACGGCCAACACCCAGGGAGATTATTCTGTACAGCGCTTTGAAGACAACTCTGCACTCAATGCAGCGGTCCCAAGATGAGTCCCTGGAACCAGGCTTTATACTGTGACGCGTCGGATCTGTAGCCAGAGTGACTGCTGAGATGACTGGGTTATGTGATGGTCGACCCTTTCCGATGCCTTATGAACAGTAGGGTAGGGTCAATGGACAGCATTGAAGCCAACATGCATAATAATGTGGGAGCACGGATCGAAAAGTGCAAATTGGAATTTGAAGATACTGCTAGTGAGAGTCGAAAGGTCAGAGTGGATTGCTCTCAGATCCGAAATCACTACCGGAGATGAGGGCCTGATGAGAGACTAGCCTCATGACTATATGTTGGCGATGACGAAAGTTGAACGATGGCAATCGTCAACTGTAAAGTAAGTACGTGGGTAGAAAACGATGGATGATTGTTGGATGTCAGCTTGTGATTGATTCCAGCTCCCTCGTCGACTTGCTGAGAGCATGAGCGAATCCGCTCACACTCTAGATCGAGAAAAAAATTCGAGCTCTTCAGTAGCTCTGTTTGTAAATTTTCACAAGAGACCCGGTGTGTGGTCCGGGTAATTGGGCGGCAGTTTTGTATTGTCTTGTTGGTCCTGACTTGCAAGTGCCATGTTGGTCCTGATTGACAGAGGTAAACTTTCTCGTACCGTGCACGTCTATTTTCTGGGGAATTTAGCCGATCACGCTTAGCGTGTGCAAAATCCATTCGTTTCTTGGCATTGAGTCCCGCCCTTTCCCCAGATTTCAAAAATCAACTTTACGAATATACAGTAAGGTAGATTTATTTTTACTCAGCGGCTTTAGCGTCGCAGAAATAGCTATCAGAAACCTTTTATATATATAAAATAAAACTGCTTTCGAGATATCGTTATACAAGAATCTAGAAGTAGAGAGAAAGAGAAAGTTAAGGTATTCTCAGCGAACGGCGTTATCCGTCTCGCTCCAAAACTAATATATTCGTAGCTCTATCAATCGATTGTTTTCTTATGTTTTTTGTATTTTAACAGCGTTGGAGGAGCTGATTGTTCTAGTTTGAATCCAGGTGGGAGGGGGCGGGACTCAGTAGGAAGGAACTTTTGCATACGCTAAATACGGGTACTAGTACTTCCGAGTCCCGACCATGCTTGAATTTGCGAAGCCAGAAAACAAAGACCTTTCATTCCTGGCAATACTTCCCAGCCAACGGTAGATCATCTGTAGTACCCGCGAGTGTCAGCAGACTTACTTCTTTGCAAAGCTCTGTTCATGATGTTTTGGATGGCGTTGCTTGATAAGGTAAGGTAAATCAAGCCGTATCTCTTCTTGGCCTCATTTACCATTCTCGCTTGTCTCACTCCAACGTCGGGCCGAAAGGTGAGAAGGTTTGGCAATTCAGCCTCTTACTTGGAAGTTATTGCTGACTTCTTTGTTGTTCTTTGCATGGAGCAACTGTGATCATCCTGTGCCTCTGACTAATAAGAATACTAAAGTACCTTACACATGGCAGACGCGACAATGTTGCCACTTACCACGTCGGTGCCGCACAATTTCATCGTTGCACGTGTCAAGTATCCTGACTCCTGACGTACGTCTTATTAGAGGGTCCAGCCCCTAGGCTTGGCCCCACCAGTGAATCAAAGTCGCATCGCTAATAAAGTACTTTAGTCAGTGATGGAGTCCTGAAGCCGTTTCCTGCCTAAAGTACCTTAGATGTACCGAGTAAAATTCCCTTGCATCTGAAACAAGTGAACAGTGACAAATCAGGTAAACTCAGCTCGGTACCTGTTTTAGTACTACCGGAACTTGTCCAGAATGCGTTAGATATACGGTACTTGAGAAATTGTAATGTACTGTATGTATCAACCTTATTCATTTTGTGAGATCCGATCTGGGAAGTAGGGAATACGAAGACTCTAAAGTAGGGAAAATCATAGGTGATGTAAGCAGTTGCAATGTTTGAATTCTTCTACTTCTTCTCATTTCCTTGTCTTGCCGGCCTTTTCTACGCCCGTATTTCTCTAAGGTAGATCTGGGGAAATAAGGTAGTCTTCAAATCTACCTATGTTTGTCGTATCTACAACATTCAATCTTACCCCACACCCTTCTGAACATTCATTCTTGCCCACTTCATTATCCCATAGCAATTTCGAGCAAACCCGAAGTCCTTTGCCTTCCTCCTTTTCTCTTTCATCCTTTGCCGCCGCCTCGCACTCCAGTCTCTACCCAAGATGAGTGGCAGCAAATCCCACTCGTCAGGCCTAAGATGCCTGCTACATTTCTTACTGCTGGCATCCACAGCCGTTAGCGATGATAGCCCTTTCACCGTGTCACCACCCAAGCCATCGATCTGCACGGCGAGCACCGTCACCTATTCATCTGCATTGGTCATGCCCACCGGCTCCTTTGATATCCACCCCGGCTCCTATGGCATGGGGAACTTAGGCCAGAACTGGACTTTTGCTGTCACTTCTGGAATAGAGCTGTTGGACTGGGGCGATGATGGGCAAAACATTTCGAAATGGGTCGTTGAGAATGGTATGCTCCAAGATGGCGCCAGGTCATACACCTTCACGGTTCCAACCGATGGAAGCTGGCGTAAGTTGTGTGTATCTAGTATGGCAAGAAAATACTAACATTGCAACAGTTGGCGGGATGATGACGGGTCTCGCAGCGTCCTCAGGAGGTTCTGCAGACTTTACACTTACCATCACAGCCTTACTTCCCTGCAACTTACCAGTCGCAATGGAGTGCGGCAGTAACTCCGATCCCGCCTTTGACACATCACAATGGGAGGCTTGGAGTGTTGATCATTTCTTGTCATCTTACTACACGAATTATACCAATGGTGCTTTTGGTTCGCCAGGGTCATTCATGGACAGATTCTATAACGATTTTACTGATGGCGAGGGTTCGGCATACGATCAGTGCAATGTTACAGATACCGCGATAAATGATTGTAATTGGATTGGGTCTTGCCACAATCTCGCCACGTCTGGTCAGCCTGATCTTACACCTTATCAAGTGCCAGCATACCTTACTATGTATGCTATGAGGAGTAAGTATCCAATCATCCCATCAAACCCAATCTACTAATTAGTATTGAGATTTCATGGCCATCCTCAACAACATATACACCGCACTCCAATGGGCAATCGGCGACATGGAACGTATATATGAAGGCTTGGGTTCCGTGAGTAGATCTATTCCCCTAGAATGCTTAACTTAACCTATCGTCGACAGATCTTTGTCAAAATGCCGAGCGGTATTTCAGAGACATGGTACAAGGTGTTTCCCCTTTTGGTAAGTTTGGCTCTGAAACGCAAAGTGTCAAACATTTCTCACGTTTGACAGAATACTATTCTGACTATGATCGCTGTTATCTTTATTGCTATAGAATTACCAGTAAGTGTGTCCGATAGTTGACGGAAAGGTCCGAGGCCAATGATATTGTATAGTATGCTGTGGCCGCATTGATAGGGTCGGCTGCTGCGTTCGGTTTCGCTGGCGATGCCGGTGCACTGACGGCTGCAGAAGTGCAAACGGATTTTCAATTGGAACAGTAGGTGTTCTTGACGTGAACCACTTACGCCTCCAGAGCTAAGATCTTTCAGAATCTGGACGGATAGCGCGATCGGCGAGTCATTGGTGACGACTATCTCTGACTCGATCTACAACTTAAGCAATGCGGTCTGGCTAGGCGGAGCCAATGTTACAGAATTCATGAAGGGTGGCAATTTTCTCACAGCACAGACAAGCCTGGCGGAGACCAATGCCACAAACAGAAACGGCCCACCGTTGCAAGCTACAGAATATTTTGAAAATCAGTTCGTTTCAGCTTTAATCAATAGCTACTACAAGGCAAATTACGCCTATATTGTTTATGTGAGTTGAGAGGTTGTCCTTACCCGCAGAATAGCTTGCTCATATCAACGGAAGATACCCTATGGCCAGGTCCAACAACTCGATTGCTCGAACTCGTGGGGCGATTTCACACAGGACATCTGTCAAAAGGATTGGATCGAGAAAGGGCGCCAAGACTTCTTTCACAACACTTGGAATGAGAGCGTGGTGGCTTCATGCATGGACAATGGTATGGCCGTGTTATACAAGTGAGTACCAGCAGCGGACGGCGGTCGACCCCTATACTCACACATTATGTAGTGCATATTCCGGCGCTTGGGACAATAGTCAGCCGCAGTCTTTCTACGTCAAAAACTTCAGCGTCAATGATATCACTTACAATCCAGTCTACATGATAGAGTCATCTGTGAATGGGTTTCTCGCCAATGGCTTCAAGTGAGTGGCAGACACTCTCTCATCAAGATGTAGCAATTAAACTGACTCGACCGACCAAGTTACAACGCGACAGACGCCTGGGTCTCGCAGATCTCCAACCCCAATGGGGAAACTGTCCTCAATGAGAATATCGCAGGAGCCATTATGAATGTGCAGCAATGGACTGCTGGCATGTACAACCTTCCCGTTTGCGTGCAGAACAACCTAGCGTCAGTGCCGAACAGCCACTTTCAATATCGGTACGGATCCAGCTGGCCTGCCCAGGTCCAGCCGTGTCAATGCATGTCAGACTCGGCCAACATCACCATTGACGGAATCACTTCGTACTTCAGGGATAACATCCCGCAACAAGCCGCAAAGTATCTCAGTGCCGATGGTGGATCTGGCAATTGGTGTCCATTTGACGAGGGAAGATTGGGCAAGGCGTGCGATGGTACTCTGGGACCGCCTTACTGATAACGGTGTGGATGATGTGTACTCTTGTCTGAGAGGCGAAGGGAAAATTTACGTATCATGAAGTCCTGAACAACATTTTATGGCCATCGACCACTGTTGCAGTGGTGCTAGGTCTGACAATTCCTGTGTTTGCAGATCCCTCTGAGTCTGTCGTCTCTGTTGGATATGTAGAGAAGTTTGAGCCCGTTGAGTCGGCAGAAGTGCCATGTTGAAGCACGTCCCTTGGGCTGCTGGTATGGTCCGTGAATTAGACTCAAGGGAAGAGCCAAATTTACTATGAAGGAGAAGTCTCCCAGTATGTCGCTTTCCAAGCTGACTAGGGGTCCAATTGTGCCACAGGGAGAGTCTGAAAGCTAGTCTTGCTCCGCGAGCTATCAGATGTGACGATGCTTACGACTGGGACATTCGAGACGACTGCTTGGTGTGGCCAATCACCAAGGGAGCAGTCTCGGTCCAATCTCCAAGATCCTTACACAGCTTGCCTTCCGAATCAGTACACCTCGCCTTCCGCCGCTGTTTCCAGGAGCCAACTGTCATAGAGTACATTCGGCTATTTTGTGATACCGAATTCCTGGTAGTGACAAGCCTGACTATCCCGTCCGAACATCCAAATCAGAAGACCGAAAAGCTGGTCATGTTATCTAAGGGTGCTCAGGAAGCTGTATTCTGGATACTAAATCTTGAGGCTTCCGTTAGCAGGCCCGCCATAGGTACAGGTTCTATCTATCTGGTACAATGTCCACCTGCATTGGAGGACAAGAACGAGTACCTGATGGACAATGATCACATAGAGACGGATCAGTCGTATTGGATGCGGCCATACCTCCAGGAGACGCAGGGCCTGAATGCGACAGAAAGATAAATGACGATAGATCACTGGTATGAAGCAGGGGTGGAAGCTGCGCGGTCTGGGCCGACTGGAGGGATCTGACATACGTGTTCTCTACCCCATCAGGTCAGGTCCTCCATGTGTACTATACTCCTGGCGTCCGAAGAAATAACGGTCCTGGCGATCAAAACCATGCAGTGAGCCCAATCTATCTTGCATTATGGAATCTCATTTTCCGACCAGGAGTTATCTCTGTGCCACACTGCTTACCATACGTAATCCACACACGAAGACTTGTACACATGACAATTTTGGTCCTCCTGCGCACAACCATTTTGATCCTCATCCGAGATACCTTGATTTCGACGGCAACCTCTCCCTACTCTTTCGAATTATTCACCATCTGGTGGCGCCTGCACAATCTGTTTACGAAGAGCATGAGATATTAGACCCAGGTGCAATGTTCGGATCGTCATGTGCTCTTTCGACCAGCGAACCTACAGGCCTAGAACCTTGTCCCGTCGACCAAGCAAACCTTCGACCCTCCAGAGCCTTTTGTTCCCATTACACTTCCGAGTGACCGAAAAAAAACAAGGTACCCTGGAAAAGCAGCCGAGGAGGCACGTGGAGGTTGAACTGCCATGGGAAGTGCTGCATAAAGATCTCTTCGGTACTACGGATGACTCTCTAATCTGTCAGAGCTCCTACCATCATTTTCCGATCTTGATCGACTTCTGGCCACTTTGGTGAAGTAACTTCGTTAGGTGCAACAGAGATGAAAACTCTGGCATCGAGAAGAGGCATCCAACAGCCACTGTATTTATCACGCTCTACGTCATTGCGCAGCAGTCGATCTGGCCTTGTGCCGTTGCTAGAACGAGGAATTCTGCTCGTAGAACTGCCACTGGTGGAGTACGAATTCTTCCGCCTTATCGTTCGAAGGTTTATAGCGTAATAGGAGCATCTCAAATACCGCAGCTGACTGAGGGTCCAAGCCACGTCTGTACGATCAGTGAGCTGGCCATTTCATGTTGTCGGTTGTTTGAAGTTTGAGATATGCTATCCAGCTTAAGAATTCTATGTAAAGGCACGCCAAGCCTTCATGTACCTAGAAAGGGGTGTATGGATAAACTTCGGCCAAAAATCCCTGTACTACTGCCAAGCCTGCCAAAAAATGGCAATGCGCGTCTATGTCACCTCGAGACCGGTTCAAAATCCATACTCTGCCTTGACACCTTGCTGGAGTTGCTGGTGTTGATCTGTCTTTTGGTGCCATACATCTTCCAGCTAATCCCGCTCATCTGAGTGCTTCCCACTTAAGCCCCCAGCTCCCTGCTTGACATCCTCGGCATCTTGCATTATTAGATAGCAAACAGAAAGAGCAGGGCACAATATCTCGACAACACCTGCGGCTGCTAAGCATTGATGCTTACAATCAGTCCTACTCGGCTAGGGCGTAGGCCGCCGGCAGATCAAGACAGCAAACATCTCTTGCATCAACAGATCGAGGGGAGCCAGCGCCCGTCGACATGCCATGGCGTCCCCTCCCTCGGATAGCCTTCGCGGTTGCTACCTACCCCTTCCAAGCCTCCTTTCCAGCAGATCTCCCCCTCGAAATAGGTGACGAGTTGTATATCATTGAGCAAGGTGGCCAGGATGCTTCGTGGTTCCGTGGATATCTCGTTGCCCCGCCCTCATTGCTTGCTGGATTGACAAGCGTCAAAGGACAAACATTGGAAGCAAGGGTGTTCTCGGGTATCTTTCCCAGATGTTGTGTGGAGGTTCGGGAAGTCCTAGGAGATGCTGGACTGGACGGACACGCGCATGGCTTGGTGTCCAACGGCGACAGTCCGAGGTTTGACCACTCAAATGGTGAAACTCCTCGACGCCAGAGCTCTTTGGTTCATAACGGTAGCATGCGCCGAAACCGGAGCAGTGATAGTGCAGGAACGAGACCCGCCATCAACGGAGGCAGCCCTAAAATCTCGCCTGCCCTTCAGCGGCCAACCCGCACATCTTCTCAACACCTGCCGAATCCCACCAATGGTAAGATTCTCGCGCGGCAGCTGTCCCATCGGTCCTTCACAAGCTTTCAGCCAAAATCGTCACCAGGTCCAATTACCCCCACGTCTGACACCTCACGAGCTCAAAATACAAGGCGACCACAGGCCCCCGTCCCCATGCTGAAGATTGGCGACGAAACGCCCACTTCCAGCTCCGAGCCGTTGGTTGACGAGATCGCCTCCTGCCTGCGCGAATGGCATTCCAAGAATCTGCACGAGTTGTTGCTCGCTCGACGCTACTCCGTTTTGAAGAAAGTCTCAGATCTGGTGACTCGTCTGGATCTCGCTCGTAGGCAGCTTTTACATGGCGTCCTTACAGCTCGAGAACTCGATGCACTGCGGGAAGAGATAGTCTGGAACCTTGCTGACGGCAACAAGATGCTCAGCAGCGAGATCATCGTGCGGGATCCGAAGCAGCGTGGTCGATTGTTGACGGGGGACGACTCGGCTATTGAGATGACGAAGCTTCAATCCACGATGAGTCTGCTTGATAGATCACCGGTTTTTCAACATGACCCTATCAATCTTTATCATCTCATGGTCGATGTGAAAGGGTTGGCGAACAACGGCCTGGTTTCACCTACGCTTACATTCTACCTCTGCTCTCGAAGTCCAGGAGAGCCGCCCAAGGCGCTCACGGAGTGCTTCGTTCTCGACCTCCCATCACAGGAAGAGTTCGAGAAGCTCGCCTCTGTAGGAAAATATCGGACGTTATTCACTGATCTGACATCCAATGATATTGGAGATGCCTCAAGATCAGACGCAGACCTGTACCTTGTCGTCAAGGTCCAAGCGAACCAAGCGATACAAAAGTCTCCTTTTAGCCAACCGAGAAGGCCCAATCCCGTTGACGAGAATGCATCTTCGTCGAGACCCAATACCAGTGGCTTCATAAATTCAGCGTCGATGAAGGGAGGTAGACAGAGTCTTATGTGGGCACAGAAACAATTCGGCAGTGTTCGAAGGGCCCAGAATGATTCCAGGACAACTCAATTGCCATCTACTCCAGAGTCCCCTTCTCTTGAAAATGGTACAAGGCCTACAACGGGAGATGGATCCCGTCCCTCAACGCAACAAGGACCACAGTACGCGAAAAGAAGTATTGGAGTTGGCGTCCTCAACGTCAAACATCTCTTTAAGCATGGCGTGACTGCAGATCAAAGTGTATCCATCTGGATGCCTGCTGTGGCAAATGCGAGCGCGGATACGTTGAATTCAACAGACGACTGGGACGAAGTAATTCGTGAATTGGCCTCTAGTCGCAATGGTGGATACACCAGATGCAAAGGTATGGAGTACGTTCGTCTGGCTTTTCAGTCTTTTGCGGATCCAGACGCGAACGACCTGATTGATCGGACTCCCACCTTACTCCAGAGCATTGTCCCTACGCCAAAGACAGACTTCCCAGGTACTCCCACCAAACCCCGGTCCGATCTCTATGTCCGACTATCTGAAGTATCCTTACCTCATCAAGCCTTGCTATTACACCCAGACCGCGGCACCGTACACATTGCGTCAAGCTTGGAGTTGAAGAATGTTCAACTCACACTGGAAGTTCGTAAAACGTCTGGTGAGCGGATAGAGCGCTGCATCTTCCCGGGGTCCAATAGCCTGGGACAAACAGCATGGCGTACGTCTGCGGTCGAGAGAAGTGGGCGTTGGGATCAGATGATTAAACTCGTCATACCTACTGACGATGTGCGTGGGGCCCATCTCATAATGAGCATAGCCGATGCTCCTGGTTTTCCATTTGCGCTGAGCTGGATGCCTCTCTGGACAGAGGAGGCGTTCGTAAAAGACGGGTCTCACGCGCCTCTATTATATGTGTACGACAAAGTGACTTCGAGCTCAGATAATGGCCGAGGAGCTTACCTGGCGTTGCAATGGAACTCAAAAGGCAGGTACGGAGACGAGAAGGACGAGATCTTGACCGGGCCACTTGCTACACTAAAGCTCGAAACTAAATTGTGCAGTACTTTCTTCTCACAAGATACGATCTTGCTTGGGATCCTGAGGTGGAGAGAGCAATCGGAAAGCCAGATTCTTAATCTTCTAGAACGCTTCCTGTTCGTGCCAGAGATCGAGATCGTCAAGCTGGTTGATGATGTCTTTGACGCTTTGTTCAGCATCCTCGCAGGATACGATGGGAAGGACGAGTACGAGGACTTGGCTTTCAACGCTCTTGTAACAGTCTTGGGCATTGTACACGACCGTCGATTCAATTTAGGGCCTTTTGTGGATACGTATGTGGAAACGAGATTCGATCACCCCTTCGCGACCCCTTGCTTGATAAGGAGCTACCTTCGGCTCTTAACAAATCCGGCCGATCCAAGTAAATCTAGGCGTGTTCGCGCAGCATTTAAGGTCGGCCGTCAATTGCTAAAATTCATTGTGTGCGCTCGGAGGAAGCAAGAGACTAGAGAGGCAGGCATCGGTGCCAATACGGAAGTAACGTTTAGACGAGATGTCAAGAGCATCTTCGGCGCCTTCAATGGCTTGATGGAGGACTCGTCACCAATACTAGTTGGCAGCAAAACTATCGTAGTCCAGCACATGCATTCCTGGCTTCCTGAACTCAAAGGCTTGTTCTCTGAGGAAGAGATCCTCCAGATTGCTACGGAATTTCTAGAATCTTGTACAGGAGTAGAGGGCAAATTGATCTTACATAAGCTGGTTTTCATCCTCAATCTGACAACCGACAGTTTGTTCTCAACAGGTGACGTCCAGCAACAGGTCTTAGTTGCTACTGCGGAATGGATCGACTCATACTGGGGTGTTAGCGACGACTCAACCCAATGGCGAGAGCAAGTGCGGCTGTGCTGCTCTATTGCTGCAAAACAAGCAGAACAGCCTTATTTCAGGGACCCTGGGTATTTTAGAAAAGCGATAGAATCCTACCACAGCCTTTTGTTATCCGGCAAACCGAAGAATGACCAGCTCTCGCTTCTATATCCTACGACCTACCCATTTTCTTCAAAACCTCTTGCCAGTCCTGCAGCCTTTGACGAAGCGATCACGGAGCTCGCTGGGCTACTCGCATCTTTAGCAGGCGCACACCTTCCATCGCAGCGTGTAGGTGCAGAGATCGAATGTACGAATCTGCTGTCCTCTAGCCTGGACGTCGTCATGTCAATCCTATCTGGTGGTGCTTTCCCCAAGGAATGGTTGAGCTTATACATCTTCCACCACAAAGCTTCGCTGCAGATCCTCCAGTCGCTTTTCGAAGGAATGGTGACCAACTACATCCCTTTCATTGATGATGCGGACGATTTCAACACAGACCTTTGGAGCCATTACCTTCTGACTCTACTCACGCTTGTCAGAAGTGACACATTGGCACTAGAGACGTTTCCCGAGCAGAAGAGGCGAGCAGTGTGGAAGATTGCCGGAGATGTTCGAGAACAGGGCGCAGGTTTACTCAAACGTAGCTGGGAAGCTATCGGCTGGGAAGCGAGTCCAGAGGAGCAGAAACGATACGGACTGCCACGCCTGGGTGGATACCAGGTGCAGTATGTGCCAAGCCTTGTGGCACCGATCATCGACTTGTGCCTGAGTGTGCACGAAGGCTTGAGAAACGTTGCTGTAAGGATTCTGCAAGCTATGATTATTAGCGAATGGAGTTTGAATGAGGACCTGTCCGTTATTCAAGCTGAGATGATTGATTGCTTCGAAAAATTGTTCAAATCAAAGAACATTGGAGAGAGCCTGGTCCAGAAGATGTTCGTTAACGAGCTGCTTGACATGTTTAAGTCTCTCGCAAGCACTCCTGGTGATCCAATGTGGCAGGCCATCAAAGATATGATATCAACCATCGATGAGCTTTTGGAACTTCTGGCGGCCGTGCACAGTCCTAATATAACAGAATCCCTACGGATAATGAACACCCTTCAGCTGATGAATTTTCTCAAAGACATGCAGAAAGAGGACATGTTTATACGCTATGTACACCAGCTAGCAGAAGTACAAGCGAGGCTACATAATAAAACCGAGGCCGGCTTGGCTTTGCGCCTCCATGCGGATCTATACACCTGGGAACCGACGAGTCTGAAACCGCTTACGGACCCAGCGTTTCCTGAGCAATCATCATTTGATCGCAAAGAGCGGCTTTACTTCGAAATGATCAAGTACTTTGAAGAAGGCGAAGCTTGGCATAGTGCTCTATCAAGCTACCGAGAACTAGCCAATCAGTATGAACATTCTCACTACGACTTTGCCAAGCTCGCAAGAACACAACGGGCCATGGCGAAAATCTACGAGACCATATCGAAGAGTGAATGGCAGGTACATCGATACTTCAGGGTAACATATCAAGGTCTTGGATTCCCACCCAGTCTCCGAGATAAGCAGTTTATCTACGAAGGCGAAGCGTCGGAAAGACAGTCTGCTTTCACGGATCGGATGCGACAATTACACCCAGCTGTCCAACTGTCATCCAAGGAAGAGGCCGAGGATGAAGAAGGTCAATACCTTCAGATCTCCTCCGTGAGCGTCTATCGAGACCTTGATCACCCAATTTACCAGCAACCGAAGGTAGTGCAATCGACCAGAGATTACATATCGTCAGCAAGACCAGACTGCTTTGCAGTCACCTCGAAACGGCATTTCCCGGCTTCGGGGGTCCAGAATCAATGGATCGAGAAGACGCTTTACAGAACAAAAGAATCATTCCCAACGATATTGCGAAGGAGCGAAATCGTTGCTGTCGACGCAACGCGTCTTTCACCTTTGCAAACAGCTGTAGAGCGAACTGCGCGGAAGACTTCAGAGCTGGCCACGCTCGATAAGCGTATCACTAGTGGTGATGAGTCGAATTTCATTGGCCTTACTGATGCTATTCTTTCTTCTGTCGACCCGTCTTCGGCTGCAACAGTAGCTCAGTACCGCCAGCTTCTACCCACAGTACCCGAAGAAGCTGATGAAGACATTGAGAGGCCTGCGCTCTCACCGCTTCAGAATGCTCTTCAGATTGCACTTCTCGATCATGCCTCCATATTGAAGCACTGTCTTTCCCATTATGTGGGTTCCGATCCTGCTCATACACGAGCCTCCCTGTCCGAGCTCTTCCGAAGGACTTTTTCTCCGGAATTGGCGCTCCTGGCGCCTAATCCTACACCAGACCAACATCACCTCTTCACTCCACCACCTCACTCCTCTGCGGGCAATCCGTCGTCGGTCACCCCGATTCTCACTAATGGCACCAATCACATTTCTGAAGAGCTACATTCAGAACCTCGCTCTAGGCCTCTTTCGCTCCTCAGCTTCAGCTTCCTCAAGAACTCAACTGCAAACATTCCCAAGGCGAATGGTTCATCAGTTTCCGCGCCCTCTGATGATGGTACATTGTCTTCAGGAAAGTACAGCCAAGCTGTCAACAGTTCAATTCACAACTCCACATCAGCAAATACAACAGCGCCTCTGCCTATGGAAGCGAGTGCCGAGAGGCCGACGACAGCGCAAAGCGGGCGTTCCGGCAAAGTGAAAAGGAGATTCAGCCGGCTAGGACTGAGTAGGATGGTCAGCGCAAGGGACAAGACGAAGGCCGACTCGATGAACGGAGTCGCCGAGGAGTAGATATGAGATGGATGGGATGTTCTGGATATATATGGATGGATGGCACGCCAGTACATAATATTCCGATCGACGAGAGGAGGAACACGGAGCGATTGAACGGAACAGAGCGAAACGATACCAAACTCTTCGATCTGAAATAGCAGGCTATGAACAGATCCTTTTCGTCAGCGATTCAGCGGGTTGGCGGCGTCTTCTTACTTCATGTTCCACGGTGCATTTTAATGTTGATACCCTTTTAACTAAACTCAATATCGGTACCCATCGTCATTTTGATGACACCACTTCGCTCTCTGATACCGAGAAAACACACCGGACCAACGCACTCGTCCTGTCACAAACACCGAAACTCGCTTTCCTGCCAACCTTCCTCTCCTGACTTGAAATCCCCACCCTTCCGTCACAGCCCCTCTTCCAACCCCAAACGACAGCACGGGGCAAAGTCCCCGATCCGCCCTCCCTCAAAACATCCCCCCCCCTTCCCCCTCCGTCCCATCCCATCCAAGCCCAAGCCCACACTCCCGCACCTCCCCCCCCGCCGCCGACCCTCCTCCGCCGTCGGACCCGCGGTCCGACCCCCGCCGTCCCGCGGCCCGATCGTAACTGCGCCGCCCCAACGCCGCGAGCCAGGGCATCTCGTCCCGCAGGAAGACGACCTTGAGGTCCGAGTACCAGGCCGCGACGTGGTGGCGGTTTTTGGCCTTGGCGCGGAGGACGTGGAGGCGGAGGCGCATGTCCTCGTTGGTGGCGCGGCGCTGGGTCTCGAGGGTGACGAGGCGGTGTCGCAACGTGGCCGCCGTCGCGTCGTTGTTGTTGTTGTCGTCGTCGCCGGCGAGGGTGTGAGCGAGCTGACGGCGTAGCGCCTCGGAGGTTCGGTCGAGGGTTTCGGCGCAGGCGTACGCGTCGAGGAGGTCGCGGTACGCGACCTGGGATTTGTGATGGGCCTCGTAGAAGCTCCGTCGGCCGTCGGCCATGTAGTCCATGCGCTTGAGTTGGCGCTTGGTGAGGTAGGGACGCGCGAGGGTGATGAGTCGGTTCAGGAGGAAGTAGTCGAGGCGCGGGAGGGGTTCGATGCAGGAGGTGGATGGGTGGGTGGAGAGGGCGATGCCGGTTTTGAAAACGTGGTCTGTGGTGGGCGAGCGGTGGTCTAGGATGGAGTCCATGAAGGTCATGGTTCCTGGGGTGTCGGCGCTGGTGAAGGGTATCATTTTTGTCGGGAGAGGGTGGAGGGTTGGTGATTATGTTGGTGGACGAGCGGTTGTGATGTCGTGTCGTGTGCTTGTGTGGGTGTTGTGAAGAAAGGATGTGTTGAGGGTGCAAGACAATTCCAGTCACTTCGCCTAAGCGAAGGCAGTGAACCTCCATCACATGGCGATGACGGCCTGGCAAAGCCCACTAGCAGGATATTGCATGGACACAATGTCACGTTTAGTTTCCCCGTTACCAGCTGGCTTCATACCCTTGAGATATGCACTCTCAAGAGGCTGAAAGCTGGGAGTCTTCAGAAGCCACAGGGGAACCGTCCAGCTTGAGTTACATTTTAAGGGCAGCGACCTCAAGCCATTTGAATGTATGGGCTTTACCCTCAGCAGATTTTGCCCCAAAGTATGAGCTTTCTTCCATCCTCCAAAGCACTCGAGCTAGTCATTAGCTTTTTTCGCCCTTGCTTTTGCTCTCAATTGTTGTCTTGCTTCTTGGGCAGGTCGATATCTACGACCCACGGTGCGTTGGTAGGATTATAGCTCACATCCATAATCGAAGCATTAACAAAAAGTGTTTCTTGACCCCATTTCAGAGGCTTGTCTCCACCTTCACCAATATCTACGCTGGCACATCGGTCCTCAAATACCTGCAACTTGATAGTTTTCACTTGTTCAAATGATTTCGTTCTCCAATCAATTCTTCCAGCACCCCAGCCTTCATGAATATGGCCAAAACAGTGAAGGCGAGGCTTGCACCTCCTGACAGCTCTTAACAAGTGGTCACAGCCAACTAATTCACCCCTGTCTGTTTCATCTAAAATACCTTTGGGCGGGCCGTGAGTGAGCATGATGTCGATTTCGGGATGGTTAGGAACAGGATTTGCAGTCTTGTCTTTGACGACTGGTGGACTGGGGTTGAAGCGATCGACTTGGCGAGGATAGGTGAAAGCCCAATCGTAGAACTCAGGCTGCCATGGAGAGCTGTAGACCTGGAGCGATATTAGCGATTGCTTCGATATGGCTGCATCTCACCGGATCCATCCCTCCAGCACGTCCGCTACAAGGAAAGTATCTCCGAACGGTGACTCTTCTAGACAGCGCCCCTCCCCTATAGACCTTGAAAAGCAGATCCTACGAGCCTCAACATGCAATGGTTTTGGATCGCTAATTCCGAATCACCTCACACGAAACCAAGACCACTCACTGTAAATCTCGCCCCACTCCCCAACTCAAACGTCCTAACGCCCTCCTCCAAATACACAATTCCCGCCATCTTCGCCTCTTCGCCCATCCACATATCCCTAATCTTCTGCACATCCTCCATGCCCCAACCAGCCCTGGTATGCTTATCCTTGCCCGTCCCCCTAACGTAGAACTCCTCATGCAGCGTAATATCATGGTTGCCGGGTATTACTAGCTTGAGCTCTGCAGGAGCTGCTTTGAGCATGTCGAACATGGCTTGGTATTCGGAGAGGTGGCCGACTTTGGTGATGTCGCCGGCATGGAGGAGGACGTCGGCTTTGGGGAGGGGAAGGCGGTACGCATGGGTGGGGTCGGAGGGAGGAAGGGGAGAGGCGGTATGGGTATCGGAGAGAATGACAAGGCGGGTGCGGACGGTTTGGGTAGACATGATGGAGGCTTTTGAAGACGTTAGCAAAGAAGGGGATCTTAAGGGTAGGAGGTTGGGCATGCTTTATGTACAATACATACACGGAGCGGAGAGTAGACCTGCCTGATTACTTCATGTGCTTCACTTCTGAAATCATGGAGAAGGCTCCTCAATCGGGCTTTGGTCTAGGAGGTAGGATTTTGTGGTTGGAGTGTCTGCTCCGGTGAGGAAATTGAAGCCTCAGGCATGGCACTACAAGTATTTGCCAAATCGCGAGTACCAAGATGAAAACATGTAGAACGAGCGCAAGCTTTCAAGTGACTTTCAAAGGATCTCCATTTTGATCTTTTTGAGATTACAAAAGCAATCGACATGTCCGAATGCTCTGTAGCACGCAACTAGCCATCCCTCTACTTCCTGATAGCACGCTGGTAAAACGCAAGCTCCTCTCCCTCGAGCACATATCCATCCACACGACCACTCTGCCCAGGCCTCGAAGCCACCACTGCGTACAGACGACCAGCCTCGAATTGCCTCTCCAGCGCTGTATCGACCTTGCCAACCGCCGCACTCCTAGCCGCCTGCTTCTTCTCCACACTCTTGCTCTTTTTGGTCTCCTCACCCTCCTTCTCAGTTTTTGCCTGACGTCTCCTCCCCAAGCTCTGTCCGTAGTGTGCCTCGTACCATTGACGGAAAGGTGCGGCGTCGATTTGGACGACGGCCGATTTGGTAAGCGTGTTCGTGCGGACGAGTTCGTTGTTCGAAGGATGGAAGGACACGCCAATAACGCGAACTTTGCGGGCTACGCCTTCGGAGCCCCAAGAGAAATTGCCGGCTTCGAGACGGAGGCCGCGGTATTTGGTGTTACCACCACGGGTGCGGACGAGATGAATACGTTTAGTGCCGATACGGGTATTGGCTGGTTGGCGGCCCTTCTCAAAAGCTCTGTTTCCCTAAGGTCAGACTACTGTCGCCGTCGAAGTTTGTGATCTGTACCTCTTCTTGCGGTAGTATGCTCGCTTTGCTCCGGTAGCTGAGCGCTTGTGACGTGAATCTCGTGAGATACCCATGATTGCGGTGGATCAGTGACGGCTGTGACTTGGTGGGTCAGTCAGAATTCTAAAAGTCTGTTATGCTGTGATTTATGGAGATGATGTGAGGTGGTGTTGAATCAAGATGCAAAGTCAGGCTGTGAGTCGAGCAATTTGTAGCTGAGAGCTCGTTACATAGCGGTTGCATCAAAAGTTCTCGCACGTATGCACTGTCTCCGGAGGAAGACGTGGTACCAGGGTGTCAGATTGTGCTAACCTTCTTCTAAACAGCCATCCACCAACGCAGTCACACAAGTGTAGTTTGTTGTCGTTGTCGAGTTGTGAAATTGAAGCTCTTACTTTCGCTGAGCCAGAATCGAGTGGTGCGAGGTCATCGCTTAGCCTTATGGGGCTGGATATTAGAGTAGCGCTAGCCTCTTCGAGCTACTAGACCATGAGCGAATCACTCTTCGATGATTCTTGATACTGACAACCTCATGTCGTTGTGTTTATCTTGTGGTTGCTCGCTCGAGGTCACCCGCTGCTTGAGACCATGCTTGGGAACGCCACGGTCTGCCAGGTCGTGCAAGAGATATCCAAGCCAATCACCAAGGTTTGAAAATTTCTATCTTGCAAGAACATGGCGGCCGACATGCAGACATACAGGACAACATAAGTCTTGGAAAATCGGTCCCAGGCGTATACCAAAATCCCATTTCCAAAACCTCAATCCACATTCATTCAGTCGACAAAATTACGCATGCTTTAAAACAAACCCGCTTCTTCCTCCTGCGTCAGCAGGTCATGTTGATACATCAAGCCTCAAGGCCTACCGATCCATCACGCTAATTCAACAAACCAATAGTGATATCTCCGTGAATCTTCGCCTTCAATTGGATCTCAAGATCCAAGTTGAGTTCGATGCGCAGTCGTAGCTGCTCTCCCTTGCCTCCATCTTCCCCTTCTTTTCCTTCTCCTTTTTCCCCTCCACCAGTCAGTCCACCAACAGTCTTGCCAACTTGATCTTTTGCACCGCCTGCAGCTTGGCCAGCCTGATCTGTCACACCGCCTGCAGTATCCTGGACCTTATCCAGTGCTCCGGAGGTGGTTTCTCCTACCTCGTCAAGGGAATCGAGAGGCCCACCGCCAGATTTGTTGGACTGAGGAGGTGCCGCTTCTTTCGTGGGCTTCTTTTTGCGATTCCTGTTCCGGCGGCCACCTTGCGCATCAGACAAGTCGCTGCGCACAATGCTCTCCGTATCAGATTCCGGCGCCTGACTCCTACCCCTTCCCCTACTCTGCCTGCGCTTGCTTTGTGCGCGAGACTGTGGTTGCGAAGCAGGAGCATTGCCATTTGTTTCGGACGCGTGCGACGGTTCTTGTTCTGAGTCACCGCCTTTCTGTGTTTCTTTCTTGGGTGTGTTCTGCTGCGAGCCCTTCTTCGGCAACTTTGGTGCTGTGCGCTTAGTCTCCTGTACCTTCTTCTGGGGGCTTTGGGCGTTTATGTCGCCGGATACTGCTGCGTTGGCGCCGGCGACGGCTTGGCTTTCGTCCGTGCGGGACTGTTCTTCTGCCATCTTGGGGTGTTGTTCGAAGGCCTGCTTGGGGGTGTCAGGGCGAGTTTGCATTCAATTTGGGTCGATGGGATCTTCTGGTGCTGGGCGCAGGCGAAGGTATTTGGAGTGTACGAGAAGATGAAGCTCATGGGACGTCAGTAAGCAAGGAACAACTATCACAAAACAAGAGAGATGGCTGGTACGGACAGAACAAAACGTAGCGCATGACGTTCTCTGATTCTTCTTCTCCGGACCCAGCCACTCGAACCGCGTCCCCCACTCAGAAGCCCGGTCCTCGCCCTCGAATCTGCCGTCACAGCGCAGTCTTTCATGGCTTCGGATTGGTCAGAGCCGACAGGGGCACGAGACCAGCAGCCAATCCGGGTGCATAGTCGCCGAGTTGCCTGCCGAATCCCTGCCGAAAGTATGAGCTATGTGGCGTTGGACGAGAACACGCACATTTGAATCATGGATGATATGTTGTGGATTGCTGCAAATCTTCTAACGCGCTGACTCCTACGAGCCCAGAATATAGGGGGGGATAAGTGGTAAAGACAGTGTTTCTGTCTGGTCTACCATTGTTGCAAAGACCGTGGGAAATATGCTCAAGGAACGCTGGCAAGAACGTGGAGAAACGTGAAATACAGGGATCTCCGGTGGCTGAACCTTGGCACGCAAAGACCCGAACCAGGCCCAGATCCCTGCAGCCATGACGGTCTGCGAAATCGCGAAACATCAAGATGGCTGACAACAAACCTTCAACAAACTGTCACGTTCTTCTATTTTTGAACGGTATGTACTTCGCAATAGACTTATCTTGACCAGCCTCTTCTTCAGTTCAGTCATCTTGGGTTGAGGCGACAAGCATCGTCCCAAAATCCAACCAAACACCGGTGCAACGACCGAAGCACCTTGACCCCATCCAGACCAGCCTCTTCATCTACACTTCCAATCCCGCGCATTACTCTCAAGAACATCCAATCACCCACGCCACTCCTCCCAGCCAACCCCTCAATCACCACCATGTCCTCCAGCGAAGCGCCAAAGAGAAGTCCTCAAACGAAAGAAATGACCGACTCCGAAATCTCAGATACCCCGGGAAAACGCTCACGCTCCCAATCCCGCCGCGCCCGCCGCCGAAAGGCCCAGCAGAAACCCCAAGAAAAGAAAAAGCAAATGCCCTCTTTGAACGAAGACGGCGAAGAAGAAGAAGAAGATGAATCGCCCTCACCCGAAGCAAAAGGCGGCGCCACGCAACCCCTCCAGCACATCGGCGGCGACGAGAAATCCATGGACGGTCCAGTCACACACGCGCGCGCACAGCGCGGGGAGATGCCGGTGCGGGGCGGGAAACCGAATCAGGGGAAGGGGGAGAAGAAAGAGGGGCAAAGCGAGGAGATGATGAAGCAGGATGGGTTGAAGTTGAGACTGGAGTTGAATTTGGATATAGAGTTGGAGTTGAAGGCGAGCATTCGAGGTGATATTACGTTGGCGCTGTTGTGAGTGTTTACCCCGTGCCTCGGAGTGTTTTCAGGGAGTGCTTGATTGGATGGGCTAATTGCTGATAGGGCATAGGAGTTGAGATTAGCATTGGGAAAAGAGCGATGGATTATGTGGAGGATTTTGAGAGACATATGCATGCAGATATGATAGCGACTTTGAGAGAACATGTATGGCATCTACGTACCACCAAGATACTCGTTTCACGAAAGATGGAAAACTTCCAACCCATGAATAGCACTTCCTACTGCTTCACGGCCTGCAAAACTAGGTCTCCCGGATAAGTCACAAATTGCCGGCCAATTTCGATGCTCACCTTTTCCTTGGTTTCTACTTGTGTGCATGATTGCCCTCCCATCGTTCAAGTACCATCTCCTTGACAGGTGGCAGACAATCGCCCTCAAAACTCCCTCCAAAGGCCATACTGGTCCTCATCAGCTCCATGTAATTCCTTCCTGGAGAGACTTTCCCCACGATAGTCGATGGTTTTCTCTCGACCCTCTGCGGCACCACTAATGGCCTGCCCAGCACCGCATCCGTAGCTTGGAAGGCGAATGTAATATTCTCTTTCGCTTCTCCGCCAACGCCTGACTCGTCCAGCATGGTCATTCGTACGTTAGGGCCGAGCTCCTGCTGCACGTAGTCCCAGGTATTAGGGTAGAAAGCTTCGCCACCGCACATGTAGACCTCTTCTAAATCAAGCTTGCCTTCTTTATCCTTTGGGCCCCAGGTGTAGTATGCATTCACAATGGCCTCGGCCGTTATTCTTGTAATCGTGGCCACTGTATCCTCGGGCGACAGACCAGCGTCTGTGCTGAATGACTGTGGATTGTCGATAGCATTGTATCTGAGAATCTTGAGGTGGGGGGAAGATGTAGGCGAGGCTTGGGTGAAGTGACATAGAACGCATTCCACGGTGTCCATTTGAGGTGCCGGAGTTCAGACCGAGGACGCGGAGCGAGAGGGGTTCGTTTTGGGCGCCATCGCTGGTAGGACTGGAAGCCATGGCGTTTGGAAACCTAGTCAGTGCTTGATCTTAGTAGCAATCAACGTGGACGGGTCAAAACTTTCAATGTAATGGACAATGAAAGAGGAAAATCTTTGAGCAGGCAGTCCTCCGCTTGACCCCAACTACTCCAATGATGTAACGAGATCTCCTCCGATGGTGCACTTCAGAACAATCGTTGGTTGAGTTTGCCAGCGAAGTGAAATACCTTCAATGTCATAATATGGGAGGTATGCTGTGATTACCCGGATGAGCATCAAGGCGCGGTCACGGTCAGGGTAAGTGGGATTGACACATGTGTTCTCCGTACATTCGACCTGCACGAATTGACTCGGTGGATTGTCACGAGGAAAGCCTGAGCTAAGAAACACAAGGTGGACTCGGATCTTGTCTTTCCAGTCGAGAAGTAAAGATGTATACGAGGACGGGTTTCCATCGCCCTTCCCATGATGAATGATGATAACGCGAAAGGCTTGGCAGAATGTTTTTGATTTCTTAGCCCTAATCTACTCGTAGCGCTAATCGCATGACAAAACTTACCTATCTGCCCGCACATTATCATGTTGACATGCGTCAATAATCGACCGTTGACGACGCATCTAATAAGGTACAGGGGCCATGGTACGCCCCTTGCTCGCCTTCGGCACGGATGCAGAGGACGTTCCCGCCTGATAACATGGTTACATGGTCAACCACTCAGACCTCAGGAACAATCCTTGGTTCAAATATTGGACATTTGATCATGAACGTCATTCAATTAACATTATCTATTGGCGGTATCATAAGTCAAGCCCCATAATCCTAATCCCACACTCTACAAATAGTACACAAACGCTCCCAGTCCCAGGAAACCAGTGAGCCATACCGCCAACCAAGCATCGGCTCTATTCAACGTTGCCGTTCCTGTGAAAATTTCCGGGGTAGTGGTGAAATTTACTCCTGTGGCATAGGCGACACCACTGCCCGACGCCGTGATGGGGTGACCAGTGAATGTACCGTTGAAGATCGACAAGCCGACAGGGTTCGGGGTGGGCGTAATGGTCTGGTTGCCTATGACAATTTCGGGTACTAGATTTTCGGAGTCAGTCTTCGCCTTCAGAAGCAACTTCCGAGTCGTTCAAAGGGTCTTAAGTATATGATGCAACCAAAACATAGCTTGCGACTCGGAGGTGGCTATGGACGAAAAACGTGTAACGTGAATAGATTGCTTACCACCAACGGAGGGAAAGATCGTGGTCGATGCGGCAGTGGTAGTGGCCCCTGGAGCTGCAGCGGGGACGGATTGCTGGAAGAGATAGCGATCAGCATTGCCTGCTTCATATTCAGGCTCTCAAGAGCGTCGATAAAGTTGACACATTCAGGCAAAATCTGCCGGATGGCAGAGCACATTCAACCATAATCTCGGACCACCTGGTTTAGAAGACTTACAGGAGCTATAGTTAGACTAGCCATCACAGCCGCTAGCGGTACATTCGAGAACGTGCTTGTAGTAGTAGTCGTCGTATTCAAGACTTGGACCAATGCTGTCGCAACGACGTTTTCCCCTCCGGCCGAGCAAGTGCTGAAACCCAAGTAATCGATGAATGATTGCTGTCCGTTCGCATCGAGGGTAACTCGGCCGTTTGCAGAGGATAAGATTTCCGAATAAGCTGGGGAAACTGGAATAGCGGACCCAGAAGTTGTGACGCATACTCCATTCGACAAAAACGCGGACGTGATGGAGTATGCTGCAGATATGTCAGCAAATGATGGCCCTTCAATAACATGCCCATAAATCGTACCGGTAAAGACATTGTAAGCGGTGGGTGATGTCCTAGTTGAGATCAGCATCTGTGTTACAATGTAAGAGCGATCGTACGCACAACTCAGCTCCGCCAACATTGGCAGTCGGTTGGAAATTTATCTGCGTTAAAGCAACCGAGCCGTCCGTGGCCGTTGGGTTGCCGACGGTGAATTGACCCTCATTTTGGTGAATTGATGTTCTTGTCGCGCTCGTGCCATTTCCAACGCCCACTGACACTACGGCGGTTGCGGCCGTGTTTATAAACACTTCCTGATACCACACGACTCCTGACGTAGGCGATTCAGCAAATAAAATCTCCATCTTTCAGTCCGTGTATCATGCTCACCAGCAACGTCCGCGATCAAATAGCAGTCACCACAGCCTGATGGGGCGGCCGCATTTCCTGGCCCGGCCAAATCCGGGGCAGCTGATGGTAGGAACTCGCTTGCTTCGGTGCCTGTAATGAGTGCCCCTAGTTGAAAATTTCTTAGCTTCATGAAGACCTAGGACGTAGACAGAAGAGAAATTCTTACCTTGGGGAACGCAAAGGGCAGGGTTCTGCAGCAAGCTTATTGCGAAGAAGAAGAGCCACAAGAACGAAGACATTGTCTACTGTTTGGTTGCGAGGAATGAGGGTAGCGACAGGATTCTATGGGAGCAGATGTTGTATGATTTACGTTATTTGGGCTGAGAGCTTTCATATATGGCCTCCACAACAGCCTCCACTTCCAGAGCTAGGTAAAGATCTTCTTGCTAGCGATCAGGTACTCACAACGCCATCCGGGGGCTTGGACGGACTGACGCATGACGGCATCGGGAAGCCTCAGTTCTGTAGGGCCCGACCGCATGGGACCCTCCAAGGCGCTATCGGAGCTATCAAAGATATCGAAGCTGCGAGCTCTTCGTCATTCGGGCCGCTGACTTGACTGGCCTCCGATCGATGGACCATGGTAACAGTCAGCTTCCTTTTCGGCGTTGGTGCCATGTATGGGCGTTCTCCCGCCAAAAGATGCGAAAGGATGCGGTTGGGGCTGTTGCTGAGCGGTGAGGGTTGTAAGGCTGTCTGGGCATGTTTCTGGTAGCAGAATCCTGTAGGATGCCTTGAGCAGAACTCTATTCCTTAGCTTATAATTGGCGCCGCTGCACGTCGGAGAAAGATGACAGTATGATTGGATAATGTTGGCGCTTTTTATCTCACATCAGCCGTTGAGAGGGTGGGGGAAGAGGAGAAAAGACGAGTCAAAGAGGAGCAGTGCAGCAATCATACACACTAACAATCCTCGGCTAAGCTCTATTAGAAGCTAGTGCTTACCGCATCTTCTACGCCGTCGAGTATAGATACTTAGTGCCAACATCACCTGCTAGACAGCAAGGATTCCCCGCTATCGTCAGTTCGTCACCCCCCTCCAGCCTCAGCCTTCTCTTGACCATGGAAGAGAAGTACCCGGCGATCGCGGATCCTTCAAGACGGGCAGGCACATGGCAATCAACGTGATTTAACCATTCGGTTCAAGCTGTAGACAATCGGAATCAACAGCAGCAATCCGGATGGGAAATGATTATCGTCTACTCTTTACATGAGTGACAGATATTATTATTAGGTATTGGCAAAGCAAAGAAGAAAAGCGAAATGTTCGCGACATGCATGTGTTATAGAACGAGGGGTTTGCATGTTTCCAGCCAACGAACCCCAAGAACTAAAAGAAGCGCATCGCAATCCCACGCCATGTTGTTAAAGTAGGACCGGCATTAAGCCAAGCACCACACCATCCTCATGCGCGCCATGCTCTGGACCCTTCCATGCTTCAGCATAACATCCATAATTCTCTTCCGTCTCTTCCACCGCCGATTCTTAATATAACCTGCCTACAGTGTCAGCGCAACTCCACATCTCTCTTCCTTAACCCACAGGCATCAATATTATTACTGCCAGTACCAAAGATGATACCTTTTTCATACCTATAGTTTTTCCTTACCCTTCAATTCTGTGTATATTTCTCTGTCTTTCTATCTTCCGAAAACCGGTAATTCATAATGCAGATCGAGGCTGCGCCGATCGTGGTTGCTCCAAGCGGAGATTTGTACGTCTACCTACCTTTATCTACGTTATATTCTCAAAGCTTCAAGGTCGGACGCTGATGTAGTACATCCGTGCAGCATTGGTGACGATGGCCCTTGGTCCTCGTTCCTCATCAATGTCGGTAACCCTCCTCAACAGCTCCAAGTGCTGGTGTCCACCGAGGTTTCGTCAACCTGGGTGGTCGCGCCTGGAGGTTGCGGTCCGGCCTATCCAGTAAACTGTACGGGAGCTCGAGGTGGAGCATACGACTCCACGAAATCATCCACCTGGAACGTCAATGCACTCTACTCGCTTGCGGCGGAGACCAACCTGGGCAACCCATACAGCGCTAGTTCTCAGATTGGCAACTTTGGCTACGACACTGTTGGGATCCCTGGGCAGTCTGATGTCGCCAACGTATCCTTGGATCATCAAGTGATAGCTGCCATTGAAACCAATACTTATTACCTGGGCAGCTTAGGCCTCTCGTCTCAGAACATCACCTTCAGCACAGATAGTAGCGATACATCGCCAAGCTTCCTAGGCTCACTCAGAAATGAGAACCTGATTCCAAGCTTGTCTTTTGGTTACACTGCTGGTGCTTCTTACCGTAAGGCTGCCTCAAAAATGATACGCTTTCGCCGTTAATTGTTGATAGGGCAAAATGGTACCAACGGAAGCTTGACATTAGGTGGCTACGATGCCTCACGACTCGTCCCCAATGATGTCTCTTTTACCTTCGCACCTATGGTCACGAGGCAGCTTGTCGTTAGCCTACAGTCGATCACTTACTCCAACTCAACCACCCAAACGCCACTGCTGTCCCAAGGTATCCTTGCACTCGTGGATTCAACCGTTCCGTATTTATGGCTCCCCGAATCGACATGTGAGGCATTTCAACAAGCATTTGGCCTTACATTGGACCCAATCCACAACTTATACACTGTCAATGACAGCAGTCATGAAGCCAACATTAAGCAGAACGCCAGCATTGTTTTTCAACTCTCAAACAGTCTGACTGGAGGAAGTCCTTCGATCAACATCACGTTACCTTACGCCAGTTTCGATCTCATCGCCACGGCTCCATTGATTTCATCTCAAACCCGATTTTTTCCTCTACAGCGTGGAAGCGACGACACACAATATACGCTGGGCCGAACATTCCTTCAGGAATCGTAAGTTATCTCGTGATGGTGCCTCAGGTATCGGAAGCTGACTATCAATAGATTTTTAATCGTCGACTATGAACAATCCAACTTCTCAATCTCACAGGCAATTTTCGACACGTCTGCGCCAAGCCATATCGTAGCCATATCACATGCCAACACAACTGGTACCGGTACTACAACCGCCAATCCAACCTCAAGCAACACTGCCATCGTCAAGACCACCGACAATGGCTCCCACGGTATTGGTACAGGAGCTATAGCCGGAATTGCCATCGCGATTGTCCTCATCGCTACTCTCTGCGGTTCCTTCTTCATCTTCCGGAGTCTTCGTAGAAAGCGCCAATCCCAAAAACTTGCTATGGCTCCTGTTGAAGAGCCCGGGGCTATGTCCGATATCGAGAGTGACCGCAAGCACGACTTCTCCGATCAGCCAGAGGTTAAGAAGAATACCACGACGACCGTCACAGTTGCTGAAGTCCCAATGACACCCCCGCTTTCCGAAGCTGATGGTCATGAGTTCTTCGCTCCCTTCGGAGAGAAGCGACGACCCCAGAGCCGGATTATGGAGCTGCCAGCTGAGCCTGTGGATAGGTCGGAGATGCCTTCTCCGAGTCCAGAGGAGTTACGATCTGAGCTTTCAACCCCAGAGCCGAAATGGAACTATCCTGAATTACCTTCGCCTGATCCAAGTCAAGAGCTTCCATCGCCCAGCTTGAGCTCAACCGACTCCGGTCACCGGTCCCCAAATCTTGAGCAAAGACGCTCTCCAAGCCTGGAGAACAGACGATCCGCTCTTACATCCCCAGAGCCGCGACTCCCTATCCAACGTCCAGACTCACAACGGGCGGACTCTTCGGAGTCGGAGGCCGGGTGGACAAGGGATGGTATGCCTACAGGGCCTTTCCATCGCCGCTACCAATCCGACGAGTCGGACATGCCCTCGACCTCTACTCGACCTCGCCACTCACGTATGGATTCATCCGATTCCGAGGCCTTTATCCATTCCAACCGCATCGATGAATCTTCAGCCGAGTCAGAATCGCCCTCATCTTATATCCGACCGCATATCCTGCATGTTGACTCCTCGGAATCCGAAAGCCCCATCTCCCCCCCCTCGATGTCATCCTCCGCTTCTCGACAGCGTGACCTTCGCATGGATTCCAGCTCGGAATCCGAAAATGGTATCTCTTCAGCCACCCCACGCCGGGGCGGCTTCTCTTCTACCTTTCATTCTTCATCCTCCACTCGCCCTGCGACTACATTCCACTCATCGTCTTCATCGCGGCCAGGTATACGTCGACTGAGCGCTGTGCCCAGACCTGCGACTCAAAGAACGAACACTGGGGATAGTGACACCTGGGAAACGAGACTCGAATCGGCTTCTGAGAGTAATTCATCAGCTGCTGGCTCGAGATTCGGGTCGATCGTTATAAGACACCAGCATGGAGAATCGGCCGGTAATATTGAGGCTAGGGAGGGATTACTGGACGACGAGAATGTCACTAGGCACGATGGACAAATTTGACAAAGTTCGATTTCTATGTGTAATGAGTTCATTTCCACTGGCATTGCATGGAGTCCGTGCAGCGCTGAGTTAGGGTGTTGAGGGCATGAAAACAGGGTTTAATGGATTCGGATGGGCTGCATACCTAAGTAGAGCGCAGAAAGATCTTACTAGGTACAAGGGATTTATCTCCATTCTCACCGCCAGTACGATTGGTTTCAAATCTCAAGCTTTTGAAAACCCTCGCAGTCTATCCTCGAAAGAGCTCTAAATATCGTACACTTTGGTTTACAAGTCTGCAGTTCTTTAGAACCCAAATTTCAGTATGGCATGGACTTTGTGCCAGGAGTCTATCGTGTAATCCCTATAACATAGGGTTGACGAGGGCGCGAGGTCTTGGCATCGCCAAAGTTGGTTAGCTCTTGTACCCCGTATATACCCGATAATGCACGGTCTTAGATCCGATAAAACCGGGGGTGAGTTTTGGGGGATACCCTCCGGAAACTCACCCCAAGCTTACCCCCCCCCTCGGTTACGCGGCGTAGGGCTTACATAATTCAGGTAGATTTTATTACACTATAATACAACGTTATCAATAATACAACTCTGATTTGAAAGATCCTTAAAGCTTTAAAAATCTTGGATTTTAATGTTTTTATTTCACTGTTGTGAAAGGACGAATTACTGAAATCTCAGATTTATCGGATTTTAGACCGTCTCCGAGCACTTTTAGAGAGGACGCACGTTTGGTGATGCACTTTTAATAATTGTCTTTCAGGGAGGACGCGTCTCTGGTGAAGTGTTCTTGGTGTTGGTCTAAGTTTTAGAAATCATTATCTCTTACGCTCTGCATAGATATATTTTTCTTTTTTCGTTTTTTCAATACTTTACTATTTGCTATAGAATGATAAATTATCAAGATTCGAATTTTGGAGATTGCATATCCGGGTAGAGTAGGTAGCGAATAGTGGGGCCACGATTATATCCTAAAATCTGACTACTTAGTCGTTGTGACTGGTATACGAATCACTTATGAATACATGAGTATAACTTCGGTTTCCCTTGATCCTTTATTATCTGGCCCTCCCATAGTGCTTTCTTCCCAGGTTTTCTTCCGATTATTTCAAACCCAATTTCGAGATTTCTCAGTATTTTCAATTCTGCTGCTTCTAATCCAGGCAAAGCTTATGGCAGACAAGAAGATCTCCAGCTCCAAACGAACAGTCCTGATAACCGGCTGCTCAGACGGCGGTCTGGGCGCCGCCCTTGCAATCGCCTTCCATGAAGCCGGCCTGCATGTCTTTGCTACGGCTCGAAATCCTTCTAAGATGACGCAGGTCGCGTCTCTTGGCATCGAAACGCTTACATTAGACGTCCAATCCGACTCCTCAATCGCCGACTGTGTCCGCAAACTGTCCGACCTCGACATCTTGGTCAACAATGCCGGCGCCGCGTACAGCATGCCCGCCTCCGATCTCTCCATCCCCAAGGCCAAAGACATTTTCGACCTCAATGTGTGGTCTTACCTTGCCATGACGCAGGCTTTTCTGCCGTTACTGCTGAAGTCCAAGGGAATGATTGTAAACCAAACGTCTATTGCGGCTATTAAACGACGATACCGTTCCAGTCCACGTACAACGCCTCGAAAGCTGCGATGGCAATGTTTTCAGATTCGCAGCGGCTGGAGCTGGCACCCTTCGGCATCACGGTTGTCGATCTGAAGACGGGAGCCGTGGCGTCTAACCTTATAAAGAATCAAAAGGAAGCGACGCAAGCTTCTTTGCCGAAGGGCTCGATTTATGAGCCGGCGAAGGAGGCGGTAGAGAGGACGATGCGTGGTGATGCATTCGAGGATGCGGGTATGCCGGCGCAGCAGTGGGCGGGACTAGTTGTGCAGGATTTGTCGAGGAAGAGGCCACCGCCGAATGTTTGGAGGGGTGCCAAGGCGGGTTTGGCGTGGGTTGGCACGGTTTTGCCGTTCGGAATGCTAGATGGGATGATGAAGAAGATGACTGGAATTGACGTCGTTGAACAGATGGTGCGCAAATAAGGATGTTCTGCTGATCATGCTCAGAATTTGATGAGACCCGTCAAGGCAGAGCGAAAGAATATTAGAAGGGCAGCTTTGAGGCTGAGATAGGTGGCGGGCTAATTACTAATTCATACCCCGAAACTATGAATCCTTACCGAATCATACCCCTAATTACTGAATCATACCCCTAGGGGTATGATTCAGTAATTTGCCATTACTTGGGGTATGATTCGGTAATTTACTCGCCACAGCTTGACTGGGGGCTAGTGAGGGCACAGCACACACTTATGGCAGGATAGCCGAGATTGCCATGTTGGAAGAGCCTTGAATAGGCGGTGTTCCCACCTGTTTTTTGCTCCTCATTCTTGTTCCTCTCGTCGCAAGAAGAGGTTTTTGCACTTTTTCTTTCCTGACATCAGACGAAAGCAATTTTCATTTCGAAAACACATTATTCTTACCCGTTGCTATTCAGCCACTACCAATGGCACCCAAACATCCTCGCAAGCCTACCGCAAAGGCCATAGCTACACGTCAGGCTGCCGCCACCAGACCACCACCTCCACAAGAACCGTCCATAGAAGGATCCTCTAATAGGCCCCTCCCCCCACCTACTCTCGCTATACCTCCTATTCACCAGCCAGATCCTTCAGTAAGACCACCCACCCCGTCAGACCCAGTCCATAATCCCTACACCGTTCAATTGCAATTGATCTATCAGGAACTTAAATGGGTATAGACTGACGAAAACAATATACTTTAGAACCATAACGAACTCGCTCGCATATAGAACGAGGTCAATAAGATCCATACCTATCGCCAGTCGACTACCCCTACCATACACCAGCCCATACCCTAAGCCCCTATACCACCGACCCACCAGTCATTCCTATTCGCCCCACCTCCCCAGCCATCGCCTATACCTCTCCAAGCCCCACAGCCAACTTTAGCCCTACCACAGTAGAGAACACCAACACCGTCTAAGACAAAAGCAATACCGCGTCGCTCCTTCTTATATTAAGATAATAACCCTATAATAACCTTCCTTCTTCTTCGTTTTAAAGCGATAAATCTAAAATATATTAAATAAATCTATTATAAAATATTTAATATTAAATATCTTAATAAGCTATCTAATAGCTTTATTAATCGTCTTATTAGCGATAATAAGAAGACTAAGAAACTTAAGAAACTATTTTAATACTTCGAGATCTATAATTAAATTATATATTTCTTTATCTATAAAATAGTTATCTTATCTCTTTAAGAAGCTCTATTAAACTATTACTATTATATTTCTAATCTATTAACTATCTATATCTTTTAATCGATATATTATTTTTACGAGATCTTTATTTATAATAGAATTTAGCTTTATTAAGATAATATCTATACGTAATAAATATTTAATAATTACTTAAAAAATTAAATTCTAAGATAGCGACCCTCGTCGATTTAATCGAGAGTCTACCTATTATATAATTCACGTCTAAACTAGATTTTATCTTAGATATATCGTAGTATTACTTTTATATCTTCTTATTAAAATACTTAAAACTCTTAATTATTTTATTATAATTAATTTAATTATAATAAATTATATAATTCTTAAAGTTATTGCTATTTATATATATATAATATATATAACTAATTATATCCTTTTATTAACTATATTAACGAAATCTTTATTAATATTACCTCGCTAGATATAAGACTCTCTTTTATTTCTTAATTATAATTAATATCGAGAAGCTTTAAGTCGATAGTTAAGTTATTTTTATATATACTTATCTCGCTAAATAAGTCTCTATTAAAAAGATATAGCTTATTAAAAAAAGATGACTAAAAGAAATAGCTTAAAAATTACTCTAATTAGATATTCGCTAATATCTTACTTATAATTATCGCCCGCGATATTAAAATAGATTATTAAGGCTTTAATTAGTTACTATTAAATAAATCTTATCTTAATATCGCTATAATATTCGAAATACTATTTAAAGACTTTTAAAAGTAGAAAAATAATAACTATCTAATACGATTAGACGTAAAACCCTTAAAATACTTTATTTCATTCTTATTAAACCTTATTTTAAAGCATAACGATAACTAGAGAAGAATTTACGATCTTTTCTTTCTATAGTTATAATCTATTAATTACTATATTTATAAGATTTATAAAGTACTTAAATATATTATATTAAACGATACTATTAATATTCTATTTATCTAAAGCGAGAATATAATTATAATTAAGTAAGACCTTATTAACGTATTTAGATATATTTCTATAGCCGAATTAAACTTTTAGCTACTAGGTTTCTTTTAAAATAACTTCTATTATATCGATAGATTCTTATTATTTAACTTATATATTATATTCTTTATTTTCGATCTATTCGTTAAAACCCTTTATTAAGTACTTATTATTATTCTATTCTAGAGTATTATTTTTTACTATCTAGATAATTTCTTCGCTATTCTTTCGCTTAATAATAACGCAATTTAATTTAATAATAACTTTAATATTATCTACGATAATTATAATCTAAAGATAAATTATATTAAGAATAAGAAAGATACTCTAATTAAATTTTTAGAAATTTAGTTCGATAGTAAGAAGATGAAAATTAGACTCTCTTTTAATAAATTAAAAAGAATAAAAAAGTTAATAAAAGCTCTTCTAAATAAATAAAGTATTTTTTATAACAAGCTTAAATTAGCGATAGATCTATTATTCTTTTTCGCTAAAATAATAATCTCTAATAGAATCTTTCTAAGAAGGCTCTACTTCGTACTATTTAAAAAATAAGAATATTACTATATTACCGCTATAATCGCAGCGGATCTATATTAATAAAATATCTTTCTATTTAGATAAAATAGAATATAATTACTCCGCTATATAGTCGCACGTTATTATTATTCTATATAAATAGACATTTTTAGTAAGTATAAAATAAGAGAATATATTCTCGAGAATATTATTATTTATTTTAAACTAGACGATATATTTAGTATATACTTCGCTACTCGCTATTATAAGAAGAATATTTAATTTAAAGAGATACTTATTATTCTTATAGTTATTTATAGATAGCTATCTCACTTATATTAATTATATCTTATACTCTACTATAATAATAACGTCGTTATTAAGAATATTAGTAGTAATTCTATATATAGATTAACTATAGCACTACTCAGATAAATAGTTATACTATTTACTCGATACGATATCGTTTATAATATAATTTAAATCTCTATTAAGTAGAATACTTTAGTTAATTTACTTTCTTACTTTAAATTTAATAAAATTACTAATTTATATTTATAGCTAAGCGCTCTTAATCTATATAGAAATTATTAAATTATAATTCATCTAAGTTATAATATAGAGAGACTTCTCTAGATCGTAATATCGCGAGATATTTTTAATAAGATCTAGTTAATAAGATAAGAAGTAATTATCAAACGATGAAGATCTTCTATATCGAGTTTTATACCCTATTAAGAACTATTATATTTCTTATTATTATTTAATTATTTATCGACTAGATAGTATATCTAGTCGACTATTATATTTAGATTAAATTTATTAAGATTTATCTTATAAACGTTCGTTTAGCTTATATAAATATAAGATTCGAGAATCTCGAGATCTTTTATTACTTACTATTATAGTAGATAATCGCTAATATTTATAGATTATATAACGAGACTAATATTAAAAAATATCGTTTAATTACGCGAGATCTACTACTCTATATTCTTATTTAATTTAATAAAACTTTCTTTAAAAGAGTTATCTTATATACTTTCTTTTATTTTATATTTACTATATTTTTTTACATAAGCGAATTTATATAATCTTAAATTAAATTCGAGAATAATAACTTCGAATAATAATATATTATAAGATATTCGATTACGCTATATAATTATTATATAAAGCTATTATTATTATTCTCGAAGATAGATCTATTTAAAAGGGAAATTACGCTATTTATTATCGCTATAAATAATAACGTCTACTTTATTTATTCGCTATAAAATTTATTTATTTACTTCTCTATTAATAAATTATTATCGCTATTTAATTCGAGTAAGATCTTTATAAGATAATATATTATCGCTATACTATATAGTACTCTATATATACTTAATTATCTAAGCTACTATTTAAAATACTCTTTTTATAAAAAGATCGCTATCTTCGCGAGAAATGCTAATTTAATTAATAACGAGATTTAATTACTTAATCGTTAGAAGTCTAACTTATATCGCTTATATATCGAGATATATCTAATTTATATTCTCGCTATATTATATTATCTCTAGCGTTCTTATATAGCTTAGAGCTAATAAATTCTTATTAAATATAAATTATCTATTTTAAGAGTTTTTCTAAAACTAAGCTATATAGTAAACTACTATCTATATATTACTAAGTCTTAAAACTTAGCTAATTATTATTTAGAACTCATTTATATATATAGTTTTTATAAGATATTTAATAAGATAGAATTAATCGCTATAGCTTAATTAGAGACTAGTAAAGATATAATATATACTTATAATAGAATAATCGAGATTGTTATATTAGAAGAGCCTTAAATAGACGATATTCCCATCTATTTTTTATTTTTTATTCTTATTCCTCTCATCGCAAGAAGAGATTTTTATACTTTTCTCATCTATCCACACCTTATTTTTTTAACATTTCCTTATACTTAGACTCTAGATCTTCTATCTTATATAGAGAGAGTTTTTCTAGAGCTAAGCTATATAGTAGACCGCTATCTATATACTACTAAGCCTTAGAATCTAGCTAATTATTATTTAGAACTCATTTATACGTATAATTTTCGTAAGACATTTAGCGAGACAGCACTAGCATTTATAATAAAAATCGTAAAGAAGAAAATTCGCGATCTAGGTTATTCGACCATAGAAAAAAGGAAATATCTCCGATCGTATTTAATGGGTGACCTATCAACTTAAATACATCAGACGAAAAC